TTCTTTATCTTCAACATCAAAATCATTATTTTTGAAGCGTCTAAACCAATCTCTGCATGTTGTTTCCGACAGAGCATGGTCGCCGTAAGTCTCAACAAGAATTCTGTGTGCTTCTGCTGCAGATTTTTTTTGAATAAAATAGTGCAATAAAATTCCCCGCAAATACTCTTTTTTTGGCACGAAACTAGACATGTTTAGCACAATGAAAAAATAAGCTGTTTACACTTCGGTGAAATGACGTATACCGAATTTCAAGGTCACTTATTGTACTTCCTTACAGATGCGTCACCATCTAAAAATAAACACACGTGGTTCTGGTAACGCCATCTGTTGGAAAACAGCGAGAACTTATTCAAGGTCCTTATATATATACACAGTAATTCATACAGGATAATGTATTTCACTGAATAACAGAGTATTGAAGTACAGAGTACATGTATTGTAAAGGTAAACTGTTTGCAGTAGGGTTCATTTAAGCACTTACAGCACAGTACTAATGGAATCAACATCTGTATGAAATGATTTTATTTAAAAAATGTATTTTAACAGGAGAATTAAATGTTAATAATTAAATCAACTTTTAAATCAGACTCGTTGATATTTTTCTTTATCAAATGTTGTGATGTAAACTGTTGTTGCTGATTTATGTAAGCTGTTTTTTTTTTTCAACTTCCATTGGTCCATAAAACAAAGACAAATGTAAATAACAAAATGAATTTATTATCAAAAGTTAGGTACAAACATGGTTACTTTTTGACATAATCACAGTGAAGATTGAGGCATTTGTCATTAAGGCCATCTCAATCTCAATTCACTGGTAGCAACATTCTATGACAAGGAGATGGAAAAGCTCGTCCACAGATATGAAAAATGCCTGAATTTTCACTGTGATTATGTAGAAAAGTAACCATGTTTGTACCTAACTTTTGATGATAAATTAATTTTGTTTTTAAACTTGTTTTTTTTATGGACCATTGGAGGTTGGAAAAAACAGCCCTCATACATAGTTACATTTTTACAAAATACAATAAAATTTTGTATAAAGGCACATATTGCCACTGAATGCCAAGCAAACATTTGGTTAATACTGAATAGTGTGAATGGCTTGTGAGACAAATATTTGGTATTTGCCGTTTTTCAATTCTTATTGGTAAATTGTGTTGAAACAAACGAGACAAATAAAGCGAGAAGAAAATTTGAGTTTCTCTCCCAATGCCGCCTGAATGAAGCCTTCCCAATGTCTATATATCGAACGAGACAAATATTTATCTTCATCCATTTGTGTTGTTCATCCAAACACTCATGCTTGCATTTGTGTATTTTCTTGTTTATGGTCATCATGTTGCCATTTTAGTCTTTGTAAAACTAGATTTATTTATTTATTTATTTATTTTTAAATTTAGTTAATTTTTCAATTTGGTTTATAGATAAAAAAAGACCAGATAAAACTACATACTTTTTAAGTATGTAGTTTAATCTGGTCTTTTTTGCAATACAGTTTTATTGTGTTGTTTTTAAAAAAAAATTTTTTTTTACATTTTCATTTTTATGCTTTGGTGATACCATCCACCATTTTATTTTAGGCTTCTTTTTTCTTTAACAGATATGAACTACTAATAACTATAGAAGCAGCAGCATAAATTAATGTTTGAGAATTGTCTGTTTTATAGATCTTGGATGAATATTTATCATTCCCTCAATGAACTGATGCTTGACATATAATTGTGTGTGTGTGTGTGTGTGTACATGTATATTTGCCAAGTGACAAACACTTCAGCAAATATTCAGCATTCAACAAAAATTAAATGTGTGGATGCGTCTTAAAATTATTGAACAAATGCAGTATGTCATTATCCATCTCTGTACTAAACTCTGGAGATAAATTTAATTTGTCCAGTTAAATAAAGATTTATTTTATTTAATGTAATCAGTTGGAGAGGTCTTTGCAATAAAGCTCAATTTCATTTTAAATGCTTTAAACTGTATATTATATTTAAGAACATGGACTTTTTGTATTCTGTTGACCATATAAACAGGGATAAATGGCACAAGATAGGTGTGTTCACTCCTATCTTGGCTACCAATATGGAGTTTCATTTATATTAAAACCTATGCAGCTTTTTTTTTTTGGGTAACTTAATAGGTGGCCACAAAACAAGGTTTTACTGTATTTTAATTTTAAATATGTAAGATTTTAATGCATATTTAAAAATATTTTAATGGTTTGATGCTCCGATAATTTATAAAACACTTTCTATAAAATTTATTCGTAATATATTTTGAAATTATATTGGTTTCCAAATAAATTTTTCTTCTTTGTTTTAAAATATTTTTTATGCTATAATTTTATTTTTATTAGCTAGATTATCTAAATGGAATGATATATATTTTGATAATTCATGTGCTGATCTGTTTATCATAAAAATATATAACATTTCATTTATTTAATTATTTACTTTAATATTAGTTTGCTTATTATTCATTTAAACATTTGTAATTTGTTTTAATAAACTTTATTTTTAGCATTAGATTTTGTTTTTAAGAACTTCTTGCATCTAATTAAAGTAAAGGAAAATTTTATAATTTATAATAATAATAATAATAATAATAATAAATATTGGCACAGAAGCATTTCAAAAAAAAAAAATTTTTTTTCAAATTTCTGGAATATTGTTCTGGAGAAGTTTTATGTAAATTTTACATAAATTTTGAGACTTGTTTTTGAGATATTTGTTTTGTCTGATAAAACTTTTTTCTTCACTTACTTGTATTTTTCCTCCCTTCCCTCTAACTTCTCTTTATTATCCAATTTTTTCTTCCATCACCTCTTCCTCTTTTTTTCTACTTTTTACAGGAACATTTTGACTCAATATCAGAAATTATGGCATTCTAAGCATAAAATTCTCTTGTTAAAAGTTCTTTTTAAGAAAAAAATTGCAAACTAGATGAGTGTATATTATAAATAATCCAACCTTTTTAATATTCAGTGCAAACTATGTGTTAAAGTAATGTTTTCAAGCTAGTTTGTCAATTGGGTTTAAACTTAATTCTAACAAAGGAACACCAGTTTTTGAAAATATTTGAATACAGAGGAATTTGAATTAATTTAAATTAAAGAATATGCACAACATAATGTTCAAACTTAATAAAAATTTAAAAAAATACATACACTACAATGTGTCTATATTGATAAAATGATGTAGATAAATATTAGCATTAAAATCATCTTTTGCACAAAACAAATGTTCAATACCATCATTGCAAGACCTACAATAAGATTATATTAAGCAGGACATATATCTTTTAACAAAACTTCCACATGCTGGAAGTTGATGTTGTATACCTCCTGTTATGAGTTAACTATACGTGACCTTGTATATTTCAAGCATTTCAGCAAATTTTGCCTATTATCTCTGTCCAACTAGTCTTATGATTTTGGATTCTATTGTATTATCATCTTCCATAGCAAAGGCCAGTAATACCATTGTAATTTCTTAGTGCGTAAATCATATTTATGCTTTATAGTCTTATCTCAAGCAGTTGAGAGTGTAGCAAAAATATTTCATATGAATGTACAAAATTGTGTTGGTTACATTTTTTATTTTATTAAGTTTGTCCTTTAGGTTGTATTTATTCTTTTATTTAAATTAATTTAAACATTGCTATAATTAAACTATTTTCAAATATTGGCATTCCTTTGCTGGCTTCAAGTTTAAATTCAATGAAGAGACAAACTTGCTTAGAAATTTTAGTTTAGCAAATAATTTGTGTTGGATATTAAAATGTATTATTTATGAAAATTTTTTCAAAAATCAATATGATAATTATCAAGCTGAATTATGTTGTATACATAGTAACAATTTTTGTATGAAATTGAAAAACTTGTTTTATGATAATATTAGAGATGATGTACACATATGGAATGCCAGAAAGAAATAGAAACTGCTGCCATTACTACAATTATATGATATGACTACAGATACAGGAAGTTAATTTTCATGCTTGCAATTCCTGTAGTTGCTATTGAGTTTATTTCAAGGCAGTTTATTTAAATTTTCCTTTTCTTGTCATAAGAATAAGGATGACATTCTGTTATTTGAAAAAGAAGTGTATATTATATAATGACCGCACACTTTTTCTGGTGATTAATAGCTGTAATATAATAATAGTTGTAATTTAAGCACACAACTAAAACAAACTGTTCTTAGTTGTGTTAGAAATATGGTTCCATAGAGAAGCATTGGAGACTGGAATGTTTAAAAATCGGAGTCAAACTCGTATTGCACCAGAAAAATTTATAGAACACCTAAAGAAGACCCTAGAAATGGGTAAAAAACAGTATTACGTTCTAAATACTATCTGCAAAGCTATACAAGGTTAGTGTGACGTATTTGTGGTTCCATAGTATACAGATTAAGCTTAATTAATGAACTCTTTCTGCTGGAGAAAAAGTGTCACAGAATTTAGTTTTAGAGTGAAAATTGATGTCATCTTATTGATTTTTGCTGCAGCACTATATGCTTGCATCTTTCCTTATGAAGTTATTTTCATACATGGAACAGAAATCTTTTAGTTTGATTACTTAGATATTCTTCTCTTATAACAAAAAGTTTTTGCTGGCTTAGAAATCATTTTGGAAACATTTTTAAGGCAATTAGTCAACATTTTTCAGTATGACTATAAATTATAAAATTCTGTCATAGTTCTTTTTAAAATTTCCAGAAAACAAATAATCATAGATTGTAAAGAATTTGATTACTTAAAAACTTCAAATTCTTCAATTTTTTTTTTATTATGTACGATTGACTTTGAATTTTTAATATACAATTTCTCCAAATATAATTCCATAAATTTGAATAAGTAAAATAATAACAGTTGTATTTTTTAAAAGAATTATTTAGTAAAAATGATTGCATGGTGGTCATAAACTTATTTATCTCAATTATTTTTCAGGCTGTACCTACTGGATCACGCTTTCATGTGAATACTATTGAAACTTCTACCCAGTCAACAACAACTTATACTCAGAGTTCTCAGTCAAGTGTTGTGACAACAGTTGCAACTACATCTTCACATGTGAGAAAAACAACATTTTAAATCTTAATGTAATTGATTATTTGTAAAATTTCAGGTAAATGGTTAATAGTATCATTTAAAATAGGTACAAGTCTTTTTATTAAAGGAGGTAGAATACAAAAATGCATGTTTGTTATGAAACATTTTTAATAAGAGAGATCTTTTATAGGTCAATCATCATAAACCTACAAAATCCAGTGGACACCAGATGGACGAATGTCATAGTATTCCTGGGACTCCACCAATTCCATCTGCTTCTCAGTCTACAGATTTAACAAGACCTGAAAATAAAGCAGAGACCAATTTCTTACACGACAACTACAAACATATTTTAAATCAAGACTTAAGGTAAGAATTGTTTGATGTAATAATATAAATTGGACATTCTAAAATATATGGTTTCATTAATTAGTAGTAGCAGTGGAAGTGGAAGCAATAATAGTACTCAACATCCATTACCCAACAGACATCATGTTCCAGATTTAAGCAGTTTGCAACAGAAGTTAGCTCAATTAACTTCTTCGGGTGTACAACAAACTGATTTATCGCAACAAAATGCAACTTTGTCTCGATCAACATCAAATTTGGTAAGTTATTTCTTTAATTTTATCAAATAAACAAATTATAAAATGATATAACTGGGAAGACAGCTCCACACTTAAATTTGGAGTTCTGATAGACATTCAGCACAAATTAAAAAGCTAAAACTGTTTAATAACTGTAAGATAAATGTTTTTGGAGTTTTCACATGTTCATCTTCAGATTTGTCGTAAAAAGAAACAGAAGTGTACAAACTCAGAAACATTTATCTTACAGTTATTAAACAGTTACTTGGCTTCTTAATTTATATTGAATGTCTCTTTTGATAATTACGGAATATATTTTTGTTTTATAATTATTTTTATGTAAATGTAGTATTGATAAATATATATGAAAGTGAATACAAAAATCATAAAATTAATTCTTGTTGTCATTACTGTTTACCTGTTATTTATTTAGGGGATTTATTATTTGTTGAGACTTAGTACAATAATAAAAGATTTACAAATAATTATAACACCAACAACAAAACCTTCACATTTTTTACCATATTTTATCATGAAATGCACTTCAGCTATTTCATACTGCTCTCTTCAGTTAAATAATAGTGGTCAAAATTTTTATATTAATAACAGATTTTAAAAAACTCATACTAAAATAACAACCATGTCTAAAATGCTTATATATAGAATTAAAATCTTAAGTAATTACTATCTAGCTGTCAACAGCTACCCAAAAACTATTACATTATATGCCTGTGTTCCAAATTAATCCAAGTATCTAGTATTTTATGGATTTTATGTTTGTAAAATCCATAAAATACACAATTATCAATCTTAACACATGACATTACTCAAGTTTTTCTTCACAAATGTACTTAATTACAATAACTTATACTATACATAAACTTTTAACATATCTACACTTGTGACACATCATTTATTGAATTCTTATCTTCTTCACATGAATAATTAATTAATTTTTTTTCTCTTATATATATTTTTTTTAAGATTTACAAATTCTTGTAGTCTACTATACTCTTTTCTTTTTTGTTATCAATTAAAATTTTTTTATTTTCTTATGTCTTAACAAATTTAAATTATTGTTAATCAATAAGTAATATTTATAAATAATTATTCTTTACACAACATTTTTATTTGATTAATTATCTTGTTCATAATTCATTTGAAATATTCTGTGCTACCTATTTCATTTTTTCCTTTTCTAATCTATTTAAGCCTGGTAAGAATAACCTACAAAACACAAATAAAGGCTAATCTACATGTTATTGTTTTAACTATCTTATATCTTACACAAATTCTTTAATTATCTGATTATTTCCTCTTTGTTGGCTTATGTACTATTGATGGAAAATATTTCCATTTTGGAAACTAAGGGTACGTTCGTAAAGTCAAACGAGTTAAACGCGTTAGTAACGAATCGTTCGAATAGTGGAAGTCTCGCTCAGTGCGCATGCTCTGCGGTGATGATGTTTCGAACGAAACTCTAACGAAGTTCACGAAGGAAAGAGTTAGTTTACTTCGTTAAGAAAATGCCGCCCAACGATATCGATGTTTCTAAATCTACTCGAGTGTTTAAATTGTGAATGAAAAGATGAAATGATTGAAGTAACTGTCCACCCGAAGTAATCTAAGAAAAATATTTCGGATAAGGCTGTACTAGCAACATTTGTATCTTCGATTTTAGAAACAGCCATTTAGTTCTAAACGAATCGTTCGAAAAGTCTAACGAAATAAGAATAACGATGACGTCATTCTCGTTTAACTCGTTCGACTTTACGAACGTGCCCTAATTTAACTACAGTAAAACCTCCATTAATGGACACTCCTGAATAGAAGACATCTATAATCAATGGACATATTTAGAATCCCTGATCCTTCAAATGAGACATCTGTTCTATTTATCTCTAAATTGCAGATGCTGAAATCCATAACCAACCTTATGAAAACAACGTTTTGCCTTCAATATTCTAAAACAATTAATTACATACAAAATATTATAAATGAAAACAAAGAATCAGTTAAATACTCTTTCAGATAAATTTTGACCTAGGCATTGTTTAAAGATACTGAAAATAGAAATGGGGGAGAGAGGCAGGTTGTAAAACGCTAAACAGTACTCTTTATAATCTGGTTAAGTTGTCAATCACCACTTACTGTCATACATATTAACACTATTAAACTTCTGTGTTATTGTTGGAATTAAGCTTATGATACCAAGAAACCATAAACTTTTCATGAGTTTCCTGAGTTTTCCTGAGTGAATTTCATTTATTCAACAAGAACCATAGTACAGTGGTAATGAAAAATAAACTTAAATGATTATGATGAGCATTTGTGATAAAAATTCAAAGGTCATGTTACAAAGGCAATTTGTTGGCCACTTTAAAATGTGGGAAGATATTTGGTATTCTTACAGTTATGATCTTAATAGCATTGTGGATTAGGTGTAATTTTTAATAATTCATTTATTGAAGAAAGTAAAAAGGTTTGAAAAATTACCCTTATTTTATAATTACAAAGCAGACAAATCACTATTTTTATTAGTTGCTTAGATAATAAATGATGATATAAATTCAATAACCAAATACATTTCCTACCCCTTAAAGTGGCTATCAAATTGTCTTAGTAACTCAACATTCCAACTCTTACCACCTAAACCTTCTGTTCATAACAACAGTTTCATTTTTCTTTTTTGTTACTTCCATTCACATTTATAACTATGAATTAAATTTATAATATACAAATGATATTAATAAATGATAAGTAAATTTATAACTATCATTTATCTAATTATATCTATAACTGTTGAACCAGCATAAATATAATATCTGTTGAAGAGTAATGTTTTATTATATTAAGTTAACACATGAATAGTTTCAAATTAAGATATATATGGCTGTTATAGTGCATTCTTCACATTACCATATGTCAAATAACATTTTATATAATAATTATTTTATAATAGACAAATTATTTATTTAGTATAATTTAATTATATAATAAAGACATTGTAATTAAGAATTTTATTGTTGAATTGATTTATGTTTATATTATTATTATTTATTTTTCAGTCCTGTCCTCCATCTTGTACAACTCAGACAAGTGGTGATGTGATATTAGGACAAAATTCTATTCAGACCGAAACTTCTTTGCTTCATCAGCAGATGAAATTGTCCACAGTTGATACTACAGCCAGTCAGTCTTTGCCAGCAACATCAAAGTGTAGTTTACCTCCAGAAAAAAAACCTGTTGCTACAAATCTAGAAGATTTGAAATTAGAGTTACAGAAGCTTCATAGTACAGGGACAACAGTGGATCTTAAAACTAATATAGAACAAGGTCTGCAAGCAATTTTTTCTCATTCAGTTCCTGCTCAGACTTTTACCACATCAGCTCATCCACAACCCCAGATTCCTTCTCATTTGCACCTTACAGAACCATTTGCTAATAATTCTTTGCCAACAACACCTCATCCATCTTGTCACCCTTCACCAACTGATATTCCCCTTCATGACACTGGTGTTGGTTTCTTTCCTGCAATATCCCCGCATGCTTGCTTCACTATTCAGCAAAATATATTATCAGCATCAGCTCCTGACTTGTCATTACAACTTAACCAAGATTCTTTGCCAAGTTGTAACATTTCTCCCCCAGGAACTGAAACATCTCAAGTTCCTGCTGTAAACAATGTTTTACAGAATATGGAATCAATTAATGCCATCTCTACTGCTGATTTGCAAACTCTTGCTGTTCTTCCTAGCAGTTGCATTGCTTCTTCTGTGCTTTCAGAAATATCAGATTCCGTTAATGGTAAGCACCAAGTACATAATTAGATATATGTATATATATAAATGTGATGAATTATAAAATCATCATAACATTTCAATTGAAAATATTTTAGCTTAACAAAAACTTGGTAAATAATAATTGTTCAATGATAATATCATCAGTTTTATGCATTCAATAATTAGAAAAGTCATTGATCATTGTAGATTGTACAAATGGATTACAAAGGACAGCACTTCAACTTAAGAAAGTTATTGGACCCTAGAAAGATAATACAGCATATAAAAATTATAACTACATTGTCACTTTGCGATCAAAATCTCATATCTGCATTTCCTAAAATTTTACAGGAGAGCTAAAAAACATGATTTCTAGGAGCAAAATTTTGAGTACAAAGTTGTGAGTTTTTGATATTATCAGAGAGAGGGCCTCAATGTTTTGGTAGTACGTAGAAATTGACTTTACAGCATCATTAGTGAAAAAAATGTGGTTTTGATCCATTATGGGAGATAAGAGGTTTTGATTGCCACTTGATAATATATATGTATATGTGGTTATGATTTATTAATACAGTAGGTGTTGCTTATTATAAGCACTAGCAAATTATCTGATGAAATTGAAGAAAATCAATATGAAGATAGTCCAAAGCCTCTGCAAATGTGAAAGGCTCTGTGAGTATCTTGTGGTGTTTACAAGATACTCACAGATGTGTTGAGTTTTGGAAATCTTACAACTATGAGCATTTTATTAATGAAATAATGCCAAAAAATAACTGGCACATAATGCTACATGAACTACTTGAGTAATTATTATTTTAATTAATAAGCTTTTCAGTTAATCATTAAATTTATTCTTAAACATCTTTAATTCTTTTAACATGTTTTTAAATTATGATTTAGTAAAACTAGAATTTCCACTAATTGTGGTCAAATTACATTCACTGTGTAGTATTATTGCTGAATTATTATCATCAGTATAAACTAGTCTCAAAGTGCAAAGTGATTACAATAAGCGGTGCCTGCTGTGTCTATATATATTAATAAAGCATCAACTAAAAAACAATAAAACTTTTCAGTCAGAACATTTTATATACATACAATAAAATCCAAACTATTACTATATAAAATAGATAGAGTAATGTTAAATTCATTCATTATTGCCTTTATTTTGTGTATTTTGAAACCTCTCTTAATGGACAGTTCTCTAAAGCAGTGTTTTTCAACCTGCAATCCATGAAAAAATTTCACCAGTCCACAGAAAAATATTTGACCATACTGATAGTGGTGTAGTTAATTATGGATGACATTTAAATAATAATCTAGAATATGTATGTACTTTGTTACATACAGTAACTCTAGATAAGCATATATAAGCCTAATAAATAAGCATAATTCATAATCACATATAAATACTGGTCCACATAGAATTATCCATAATTTTACCAGTCTGTGATGAGAAAAAGGTTGAAAAAATACTGCTCTAAGGAAGACATCCCTCCATAATGAATAATTTTTGTGGTCTGGTATAAAAAAAATATCTTCTTTCGCTATAAACACAGATACATGAAATGCACTTCAGTTGATGCTGCAATCTCTCTTAACAAATTGAATTCTCATCAAATCAGCTTTCTTATTTGGAGTTTCTGTGATTGCAGTAATATTGATTCTAAAAACTCAATACTGTATTTCCTGTTGTGTTTTTAAAATCAGTATGACTGCACGTTTTTATTATGACATAGTAAAATTTCTATGTTGGCTAACTTGCCATTGTATGAGTTGAATTAGTGTTTCTGTTCATGTTAGCATCTTACAACCATAATTAGTAAAAATGTTTTTTGATACACTAACATATACAGTGGGTGATTGGTTAACGAACGTAATCCGTTCCAAGACTTTGTTCGCTATCCGAATTGTTCGTTAACCGATATCGATTTACCATAGGTTTTAATGGGAATTTAATTAATTCGTTCTGGAGACCCCTAAAAATAAAAAATATATACTTTCTTACTACATTTTTATTTATATGTAATAATAAAAATACATACGTATACAGTCTTGCATTTTTATTAGTCATGTTTTTTTTGCGTTTGAAAGGGTTAAAGAATCTGTCTAATGTTGATTGCTTTTCTCGCTTCGTCAGGATTTTTTGTAAGTAATTAATAGCATTGCAATTGTAGAAATCCCCAAGCCTCAACCTGGTTTGGATGCCATTCTAAGACCGTTGTTCTGACATCCTCCCACTTTTTCAAAGGATCTTTAATAACAGATATTGACATTAATCCACTTTTTCAGAAGAAAACATATCTCGCCGAGTTTCTTGGTGCTCTTCATTCAAGAATTCTTCGCGGTCTTCAGTTGTCAGATAACTTTTGGATTCCGTTATGAGGTCTTCGATGTTCTTTATTTCTCAGATATGATTTTTGTTACTCCTTTAGCTGCTTGAGTCTTCTTGATTATACAATATTTTTCTCAAATTAGATTGAACTGCCGCATACTGTAGACCTGTTCAAGCCACACTGCCCAGCAACATCAGAAATCTTCTGCCCACTCATTAATCTTTAGTATTATACTCTCACCTTTCGAAAATAAAAACCGACACAAAACTTAACGAGTGCCTGCCTACCCGACAGTCTCACGAATACATAAAATAATTGTTTTGTCAAAAAAAGTAAAAGGCTGAAATTACAAGGAAGAGTTTCAAAGATCGGAGGAATACTATCCAATCGGTATATACCGGCTTGAGCGTCGATGTCGACGTCTCCCACACTCCAAATAGTTTCAAATTGTTGCCCGAAGACAAGGAAAGTCCAATCAGTATTCATTATTTTACGCTTCTTCTTATGTTTGTTCTGTGGGCTGTTCGTTATCCGATCATGTGTTCGTTGTCCGAACATAGAAATCTTTTGCGAAAGTGTTCGTTATTCGATTTGTTCGTTATCCGATCTGTTCGTTAACCGATCACCCACTGTACATCTATCCCTCATTTTCTACAGTGGATACATTTCAAAGAATGCTGCATAAAACAAAACTCAGGTAAAAAAGTACAATGCATGTATCCTGTAGAAAAATGCTTCATAGGATCCAGAACTTCAATGGGGGGGAAAAAAAGCAATTTACAAAAGAAACATGAGCTTTTATTCTAACATTATTTATCATTAACATCATTTGTACATAGTACAAAGTGAACATAGTGAACATGAGGTACCATAGGAAACTTAAAATCAACATTCTCTGATGTACATGTAGTACTATAATGTGTGTAAAAAAGATAAATGAACTCTTGATTTCAACAAAAAGAGTAACAACTTTTTAACAACACAATTTTAACAAAAAGTTAAATTTAAAAATTTTCAAATAAACTGCTTTTTTCTGTGTAAAAAATCAATTGTGTAAAAAGGGTTAGTTTCTTTTGTCAACTGTGTTATTTCAAAATTGCAAAAATATAGATTGCATAAAAAGAGGGATAAATATATATTGATGAAGTTGATCAAAAACAGTTTTGTAGATATTTACTCAGTCCCACAATTGTCACATCTGCCATATTGGGTCCTTTTCATTTTTTTTTTTTTTAGTTTTTTCATGTTCTTGTCTCTTACAATGGATTGAAATTTTTCTAAATATAGCCAGTTATCAGTAGAGATATTTGCATTTATCTGTCAAACACATTGAAGCAATATGATGACCTCTGTGTAAGCTACTGGCTTACAATTGTGAAGAAATTGTTTTAACATGGATTAGAGTGGCAGGTGGTTAGATTATGATGCTTGTAAAGTGATTTAAACTTTGGGCAAAGGTTTTTAAAAAGTTGAAACTTGGAGTTGCTCCATGCTTATATACTTATCCCCTTATTTAATAAATGGAATATATCCATATATTTTCACTATCTAAAATTTAATGCATCTAACTGTACCATATATATAGTTGACAATTTGTGTAACAAATATATGTTTTCAGCAATAAGGTGTGTTGGATGTAGCTAACACAATATTTAATTATGCACAGTAATCAGCAGATTTTTCTGTGTATTATATATTTGTAAATAAAAGTAATGCTGCATAAAATCTCTCTTGGGCAGGCATCTCTATATAATGCACAGTTTCTGTCCCACAGTCATCTTTTATAGAGATTTCACTGTATTTAATTTATACAACATGCACGACATATTAGTATAGTATAAACCATAATTTTGCTCAGATCATTTCACTGAGAAAAAGAAATTAATTTTGATCATAAATAAAATAAATATTCCATATAAGACTGAGCCAAACCAAAAGGAATCAAACTAAGCAATGCTACAAAAATGTTGTCCAGTGCAGTTTATTTCAGTTCATTTTAATGTGTCAAATAAACAAATTATATATTTGATAAAAAGTTTTCAGTGGATATTCATTTTCCAAAAAAATGTGAACTTTTTGGGTTTTTATTAAGTTGCCTTTTATATACTACTATTAGTGATATGCTGATTATTTTTTTTCATTTTTAATGTCTAATTTTACTGCTATTAATAATGCACTCTTTTTCATCTATTGTAATATTAATTGATTTATTAGCTTGTATTTAATGGTGATGTGCACTCATTTGTTTCTTTATTTCTTTCTTTATCACTAATGCTTGATATGTAAAGAAAATTCTTAAAAATATCATATTATATATTATATAAATCATGTATTTCTACAGATTTTTGACATTTTAACTGTAAAACATAATTTTTTGTTTTTAATTTTAGTTTCTAATTATTTAAATTTAAAATTATTATATAAATAATTATAATATATTTAACTAATTTTATTTACAAGTAATTTAACTATATTCTTTAATAAAATAAATTTTGATTTAGAATGTTTCCATTATTAATTACAATGTAGATTAATTCTAACTATTACATTTGATATAAGATGTAAGCATTCCTATTTACAGTTTAATAATGAAATCCACACTACTCAACATCGGAATACAGTTAATTACATACCTCAAAGCCTGTTACCGGTGTGAAATTAACATCAAAGAATGAAAAAACAGACTTCC